CTCCTGACCCCGCTCCCCGCCCCAGAGAACTACGAGCGGCTGGAGGCGGACAAGAAGAAGCAGGTGCAGAAGAAGAGGAAGATCGTGGGCCCCGTGATCCGCTACTGGTCCCTGACCATGCCCCTCCTGCCCGAGCCCGGCCGCGACGACCCCGTGGACGTCGAGGGGTGAGTGGCACCAGAACCCCAAAGCCCAGCCTGGAGCCTCCCCTGGAGCAGCCCCGGAGGGGCTGGGCAGAGCTCCCAAATCCCCAAATTCCACTTCGGGTGGCTGGATTTGGGCCCTGAATCCCAGCCTGGAGCCTTCCCTTGGCTTTGTCCCACTTGGGGAGGGGGAAAGCACTTTGGAGCCCCAAATCCCGCTGGAAAAGCATTTCCTGAGAACCACCTTGGAACCCCCAAACCCCACAGGAGGAACAGCTCAGGTGGCAGGCTTGAGGCCCCGAATCCCATGGGAGCCACCGTTCCTGAGCACCACCACAAACCCCAAATCCCCCATGGGAATCAGCTTTTGAGGCCCCAAATCCCATGGGAGTCACCGTTCCTGGGCACCACCACAAACCCCAAATCCCCCATTGGAGACGCAGTTTTTGAGGCCCCAAATCCCATGGGAGCCACCGTTCCTGAGCACCACCACAAACCCCAAATCCCCCATTGGAGACGCAGTTTTTGAGGCCCCAAATCCCGTGGCAGTCTCAGTTTTTGGGCACCACCACAAACCCCAAATCCCCCATGGCAGTCTCGGTTTTTGGGCACCACCACAAACCCCAAATCCCCCATTGGAGCCGCAGTTTTTGAGGCCCCAAATCCCATGGCAGTCTCGGTTTTTGGGCACCACCACAAACCCCAAATCCCCCATGGCAGTCTCGGTTTTTGGGCACCACCACAAACCCCAAATCCCCCATGGCAGTCTCAGTTTTTGGGCACCACCACAAACCCCAAATCCCCCATGGCAGTCTCAGTTTTTGGGCACCACCACAAACCCCAAATCCCCCATGGCAGTCTCAGATTTTGGGCACCACCACAAACCCCAAATCCCCCATGGCAGTCTCAGTTCCTGGGCACCACCACAAACCCCAAATCCCCCGTTGGAGCCGCAGTTTTTGAGGCCCCAAATCCTGTGGGAGTTGCAGTTTTTGGGCACCACCACAAACCCCAAATCNAATCCCCCGTTGGAGCCGCAGTTTTTGAGGCCCCAAATCCTGTGGGAGTTGCAGTTTTTGGGCACCACCACAAACCCCAAATCCCCCATTGGAGCCGCAGCTCCCGAGCCCCCGAACCCCTCTGGGCTCAGAGCTTTGCGCCGCCCCGGCCCCGCGGCTCCCCCCATGCCGGTCCCGGTGCCGTTGCAGGCTGGACCCCGAGGCGCAGCCCGGCGCCGCCGCGGCGCCGCCGTCGCCGGGGAAGTGCTCGCGCACCTTCATCTCCTTCAGCGACGACGCCACCTTCGAGCGCTGCTTCCCGCGGGCCAAGGCGCCGCGGCTGCCGGTGCGGGAGCTGTGCCCCGTCACCCACAAGCCGGCCCTGTACCGCGACCCCATCACCGACATCCCCTACTCCAACGCCCGCGCCTTCCGCATCATCCGCGAGGCCTACCGCAAGTACGTCACCGCGCACGGGCTGCCCAGCGCCGCCGCCGCCGCCGCGCCCGCCGACGGCCCCGCCGCGCGGCCCGGCCGGCAGAAGATCGTCATCAAGCAGAGCGTCGCCAGCGCCTGAGATTTGGGCTGTGGGGCGTGGGGTGTGGGAGTGTTCCTCACAAAATGGCAGAAAATCGTCATCAAACAGAGCGTGCTCAGCGCCTGAGATTTGGGATTTGGGATTTGGGGTATGGGAGTGTTCCTCCCAAAATCGTCATCAAACAGAACGTGCTCAGTGCCTGAGATTTGGGCTGTGGGGCGTGGGGTGGTGTTCCTCACAAAATGGCAGAAAATCGTCATCAAACAGAGTGTGCTCAGTGCCTGAGATTTGGGATTTGGGATTTGGGGTGTGGGAGTGTTCCTCACAAAATCGTCATCAAACAGAACGTGCTCAGTGACTGAGATTTGGGGTGTGGGATTTGGGGTATGGGAGTGTTCCTCCCAAAATCGTCATCAAACACGACGTGCTCAGTGCCTGAGATTTGGGATTTGGGATTTGGGGTGTGGGAGTGTTCCTCACAAAATGGCAGAAAATTGTCATCAAGCAGAGTGTGCTCAGTGCCTGAGATTTGGGGTGTGGGATTTNGTCATCAAGCAGAGTGTGCTCAGTGCCTGAGATTTGGGGTGTGGGATTTGGGGTGTGGGAGTGTTCCTCACAAAATGGCAGAAAATTGTCATCAAACAGAGTGTGCTCAGTGCCTGAGATTTGGGGTGTGGGATTTGGGGTGTGGGAGTGTTCCTCACAAAATGGCAGAAAATTGTCATCAAACAGAACGTGCTCAGCGCCTGAGATTTGGGGTGTGGGGTGTGGGAGACTGGAGAGTCCTTCCCAAAATCGTCATCAAACAGAACGTGCTCAGTGCCTGAGATTTGGGGTGTGGGGCGTGGGGCGTGGGAGTGTTCCTCACAAAATGGCAGAAAATTGTCATCAAACAGAACGTGCTCAGTGCCTGAGATTTGGGGTGTGGGGTTTGGGGTGTGGGAGTGTTCCTCACAAAATGGCAGAAAATCGTCATCAAACAGAACGTGCTCAGTGCCTGAGATTTGGGGTGTGGGGTGTGGGAGACTGGAGAGTCCTTCCCAAAATCGTCATCAAACAGAACGTGCTCAGTGCCTGAGATTCGGGATTTGGGGTATGGGAGTGTTCCTCCCAAAATTGTCATCAAACAGAACGTGCTCAGTGCCTGAGATTTGGGCTGTGGGGTGTGGGAGAGTCCTTCCCAAAATCATCATCAAGCAGAGCGTGCTCAGTGCCTGAGATTTTGGGTTTGGGATTTGGGATTTGGGTTGTGGGAGAGTCCTTCCCAAAATGGCAGAAGATTGTCAAGCAGAGTGTTCCCAGTGCCTGGGATTTCAGATTTGGGGTATTGGAGTATGGGAGTGTCTTTCCCAAAATAGCAAAGAATTGTCATCAAACAGTGTCCTCAGTGCCTGAGATTTGGGGTTTGGGATTTGGGATATGGGGTGTGGGAATGTCCCTCCCAAAATCATCATCTGAGCATTCCCAGTGCCTGAGATTTGGGATTTGGGATTTGGGAATGTCCCTCCCAAAATCATCATCAGAGCATTCCCAGTGCCTGAGATTTGGGATTTGGGGTGTGGGAGCGTTCCTCCCAAAATCGTCATCAGGCAGAGCATCCCCAGCCTGAGATCCCGGATTTGGGGTTTGGATGTCGGGATTTTGGCATTGACAGCGGTGAGGGTTTTGTTGAGGGGCTCCATCCCAGAGCAGCAGAAAATCTTCCTCAGCAAAGTGTCGGCACTGCCCGGAATCCTGGGATTTTGGGATACTGGGGTGTTGGGATTTGGGATTTAGGGATGTGGGATCACCTGGAGGGATGTTGTTTTGGGGTCACTGCTCAAAAGGTGTTGGAAGAGGGAATAAAGATGATTTGGGGGTTGGTTTGTGTGAGGTGGTGGGAGATCCTACAAAAATTCGGGGTGGGAGCCCCTTTCTTCAGGATACAATAAATAAAGTAGTTTGCAGAACCCTTTCCCAGAAATCCTATAAAAAATAGGGAGTGAGAGCACCTTTTTGTAGGAAATTCTACAGAAAATACAGGCTGGGAACCCTTTTTCCAAGAAATCCTACAATAAACAAGGTTCACAAACCCATTATTTTCCACATGGTCCCACCATAATGTGGGATTCCTTTCACCAGAGAAGCCTAAAATAAACTTCATGGGATTCTCTTTTCCAGAAAACCCTACAAAATTAATTCCTAGCTACCCCAAACCCCCTCCACCCCCCGAATTCGGGGCTTGTGGGGCCAAAACCTCCTTGAGCTTTGTGGGGTTTATGGAATTTGGGGAGGATCCGCTCTGCTGTGTTCCCCTGGCTGTTTTTGGGGTCGGAGCCCTGTGGGATCTGTAGGATCGGGAAGGATCCGCTCTGCCGTGTTCCCCTGGCTGTTTTTGGGGTGGGAGCTTTGTGGGGTTTATGGAATTTGGGAAGGATCCGCTCTCCTTTGTGCCCCTGGCTGTTTTTGGGGTCGGAGCTTTGTGGGGTTTATGGAATTTGGGAAGGATCCGCTCTGCCGTGTTCCCCTGGCTGTTTTTGGGGTCGGAGCTTTGTGGGGTTTATGGAATTTGGGGAGGATCTGCTCTGCCGTGTTCCCCTGGCTGTTTTTGGGGTCGGAGCTTTGTGGGGTTTATGGAATTTGGGAAGGATCCGCTCTGCCGTGTTCCCCTGGCTGTTTTTGGGGTGGGAGCTTTGTGGGGTTTATGGAATTTGGGGAGGATCTGCTCTGCCGTGTTCCCCTGGCTGTTTTTGGGGTGGGAGCCCTGTGGGATCTGTAGGATCGGGGAGGATCCGCTCTGCCCTGTTCCCCTGGCTGTTTTTGGGGTGGGAGCTTTGTGGGGTTTATGGAATT